AAAAGTGTTTGCTAAGTGAACAATATATTTAATGGCAGTTATCAACGACATAATGAAATTTCTTGTAATAGCTGTAAAAACAAAAGAAAAAAAAAACTATCAAATGTAGCTTAATTGGTAACATAATTAGAACTGTTATAAGTGTAAGTGAAAACCATTCTGCCTCTTTCTTGCCTTTTTCAACAGAATTAAATTCTGGATTATAGATCAATTAACAGTTCAATTTTAGTTACCATTATCTGCCAGTTTGTTACAGAAAACATAGGGAATGAAGAAGAGCAAGCAATTTCATTTTCGGATCAAATCATTATACCAAAAAATTGAAGACTTCCTAATCCGTCACGTACTATTGTCTTTTGTAGTATCTGAGCGTTGAAACATTGTTCCAAGTCATCTTCTGCAAAACAAAAGAATAAAATTTTTTTTAGTTTTATTTGCTTGAGAAACAAAAAAAAAAATTATTGATACTTTAAAATTTTACAAAAAAAAGAAATTATAAAATTTTAGGACATGAAGAATTTGTCTCAAAAGAAAAACTGTTTCAAAAATACTTTAAGTAAGGGTAAAAACCGTAAAAACTTTTCGAATATCTATGCCTACAAATATCACAAACGTACTCCTATGCATACAAGAAAGAAAAAAGAAATTTACAAGTACAAAATTCTGCAGCTTACTTAACAGATTACCGATAAAAACAGTAAAGGTAAGTACCTCTAATCTGTAATTGCAAAAAGAATCAATAAAAAAAAAAGAAGAAACAATCAAAATTTACATACGAATAGCCTATTAACTGCACAACAGTGAGTCTTTTTAAATATATTAAATTCTATTAATTAAGCGTATATTAGTTCAGATAGTTACTGTTTATTAACTTTGACTACAGGCTGTCTCTGAGCTGAAACTTTATCTAATACTACTTCAGCATCACGGTTAGTCTAGTCTTATTTATGCTTAAATAGTTATGTAATCTCAACAAAAAAAAAATTATTCTGAAATAAAACTGACCATAACAAGATAATCCCCCTCAATTCGATATTCGTACGTTTCGATATCACTTGGATCCTCAACTTTGACGTGTCTTTCAGTTAATGTCCCATCGTCTTTTATGTCAAATGTAATCTGCAAAAATCGGTAGTTTTTTTTTGACGTATTTTATGCGTTGAGTTCTAAATAATTTAAATTTGACTAAAAAAAGCTTGACTTTTGCTTTAATCATTGTCATAAAAATCATGGTTAAACAGACTATTTTTTTTTAAGTTGATAATAAAAAAAGATTATTTTTGAAAGTCGTTAGCTGCTAGAATAAGAATTCTGCAGAACAATGATGAAAAAAATTATAGTGTTAAAGCTGGCTACTTTTGTTGAATAAGCTGCAAGTTTTTGAAAATAAGCAAACCTTATGTTGAGTGCTGTCCAAGGCCTCATCTTGGAATTCCTTACCCAACTCAATGTCCCTGTGATGAACATCCTTTTTGGTGGTTAAATTCTCAAAATCATAACGATCTGCTTTACCGCTTGCAGCCTTACTAATTACCTTTGTTACACTTGCAAGTTTGATAATCTGCCTCATAAACCATCCATATCCTAAAGGTTTAAACAAATAAGTTTTTAGTTTCAAATTTGTGTCAGAAATGAGTTTACAAACAAATGATTTAAAAAATAAAAAGTTTCTTAGAAATCTTTACTATTCCCGATATGGCAAATGCATAAATTATAAATGTTGACTGATTGAAACAGCATTCTCAACATTTACAGAAGGTAATAAAAAAATACTAACCTCTTGCTACAAGATATTCATCAAAATTTTCACTTTTTTCTAGTTTAAACTTCCCCAGGTATTTTGTCGGCATTGTTTTAGACTCACATTGAGCAATGCTGAGAAAGACGATAAACACTGACAGATAGACGAAACGCATATTCGACACTGAAAATTACTTGTATAAACTAAATAGTTAGGTGTGAATAAGCATCAAAATTACAATTACTGCAATAAATCGTGCGAGATAGATAAAAAATTATGTCAAATGACAAAACAAAATAATCTTTCAAATCACATATATATTGTATAAGACACTGATTTCCTCAACTATGACCGGATAGTCGACTAATGAAGTATCCGCTAGACACATCAGACAGTTTAGTCTAACATACCACTAATGTTATCATTGTCGCTTCTCCCCCTTATTTACTTATCTCACTACTTATTGATAGTAGAAGAATTATTTTTGAAAATTATTAAAACCTGTTTAAACAGTGTCAATCAATGTGGCAGTAAGGTACCAGTAAAAACTTGAAATAGATAAATGGAGAAAAAGACCTTATACAGATTTAAAAACGTCTATCTAAGCAACCTAATTCAAAATCGTCTAACATCTCAGAATGCCAAATCAATAAGACATTGAGAAAATTTTTGCAAGGTTTAGTTGTTAAAATCACTTGGTGTTGCATCGAAGGGTGAATGGTGGTAACAGTGAGCAACATAATTTTTCTAAGCTTTGTATAAAGATACATCAACTAACAAAGGTTCCAAAAAAAAAAAAAAACGATACAAGAAGATAAAGCAGCTTTTTTTTTTTTGTTGTTGGCTATGTTATAAGGTAATAAAATTGATAAATTTTTAACTGTTTTTTTTTTGACTTTTTTCTTGAAAATAATAGAAGAACAAATAAGTGGGGGAAAAAAAAAAGAGATAAAATAAAGACAGTAAAGAGAAAATCTGTTTTTTGTTGCCCTACAATTTTTTATGTATTATGCGTAAAAAAAGAGAGATATATGTTTTCCACGTATGCAACAGATAATTGAATAATGTAACCAAATGAAAATATCAATAACACAAAAAAAAAAAAAAAAAAAAAAAAAAAAAA